GCCACCTTAGGTGTACGTGGCTGGCGCCTTAGCCAGCTGAGCTATAGGCGCCGAGCCGAGAACCAAGTTTTAAGGTGTTTCTGGGGTCTCCTTGGTTAAGAAGGGTCATTCAGAACTCCAGGAGTTTTGGTTCACAGCTCCCACTCATCTGATACGAATGAGGAAAAGGATCAGACATAAACTTACGTGTGAAACGAGTTAAAGCCCTCTTGCCGCAGCATCTCAGCGCAGAGATGGCATCTCAGCGCAGAGGTGGCATCTCAGCGCAGAGGTGGCCCAGGTTCCATGATAAATGGGGCACCAGGCAGCCAGGCCAGCAAGGTGGCTGGGCCCTAACTAGGAATTCTGCAGGAAGGAGTGAGTTCACAGGTTTAGACACTTAACTAGTGAAAACATTAAGAGTCACCACCCAAGGGAGCCAAGGTAACACTCTGGGTTTTAACCACCACAGCTTTCTAGTCTAATCTGCCTGGGAACCTGCAGGGAATAGAGGGAAGTGTTTTGTCTTAAAGATTAAGGGAAGGCAGTGAACTGCTTGGTTTCCAGTGGTTCTCAACCTTCCTAATGTCCTGGCCCTTTAATACAGTTCCTGTGGGTCATGACCCCCAGGTTGAGAACCGCTGGTTTTGACTATGAAGCCTTTTTATTGATTTTCCTATTAGACTCTTGGAAATTTTCTTCCCTTTATGGTCCTATCTCAATGCTTATTAGTAGGTGAAAATATGAAGGATTTGGATGCTAAGATTAAATTTTTTATCACTTAAAAAAAAGTCAGATCTAACTTTCTTAAATTGCATTAGCTTTTAACCCCTGGTGTCTTTTTTTCCTGCATCTAACTAATACAGGGTAAGGTAACTTAGTATTATTAGCTACTGTTATATTTAACCTTTTGTTTAAAATGATACAAATTTTTAAAAAGTAAAGATATGCATGTGATAGAAATAGTTGAAACATTATTGAAAAGTACAAAGTAAAAGCCAGGCCTGTTCCTAGGCTGCCCACCATCCCCTGGAGGGGCAGCCAGTGTTAAGAGTTTGCTTGGAGTTTCCTTTGGGGGTATTGTCATTTTAATTACTTCCAGTTTAATGCTAAATCACTTAAAAACCCAATCTCTAGTTTCTTGGTTTATGATAAATCACTTAAAAATCCAATTCACCTCCTTTTCTGGTTTACAAACACAAGCATCTGTTGACTGAGGTGTAAACACACAGCATGGTTTATGGACCAGCTTCAATGGGCTGTTGTCCACCTTTTTAAAGTAGGCAGTTCAGCAGTTTTTAGTGTGTCCCCAGAGTTGTGTAACTGTCAATTATAGGACATTTTTGTCACCCCGAAATGCAACCTCATACCAATCAACTGTAAATCTTCATGTCCCCAATGCTACACCACCACTAATTTCCTTTCATCTGTGGAGCCCACTGG